AACAAATTTTTCTTTTCGTACATAAACAGCATTATACAACAGTCAAATCAGAGTGTGCCATGTTTAAATAGGAACAAAAGAAACACACAGAAATTCATCTTAAGAAACTTTTACTAAGTTACATTTGGCCTTGAACATACGTTTACTTTTACACTGTTGCATTTTAGTCAGAGGATTTTATAGAAGTTAGTCATTGTGATTATCAAGAAGTTTAGCGTTTGCAGCCTCTTAGATTAAGTTCATGCGGTTGAGCTTAATAAAATCGGTATTTTATTGAAAAAGATAATGGAATATGAAGAGACATAAAGTTATGAATCAGTGATAGAAAACGAAAGAAGATATTATTGTTATTGAACGACATCTATCTGGAATTAGCGATAGGTGACTCCAACTGAATTGCACCCTCAGATCCATCACAAAAGTTCAAAACTTTATGTTGTTTGATAAAGAAAACTGTTTAAGTTGATGACTGAAGGAAGGTAATCAGTTTTCATTCTACTAACTTCGTTACTGGCAACTTCTCAGCTCCACGCACAAAAAAATCGTTAGAAACTACAAAAAAACGCGTCACAAAACTCTCGTTTTTTTATCCGTTTTCACGCATTTTCTGTGAGGTACAACGTCTGTAAACGCCTTCTGTAACGTTTGTTTCATTATCCGTTCTCACGCATTTTTGAAAAACACTTTTCGTAATGTTTGTCTCATTTTCCATTCTCAAGCGTTTTTCTTCCGTTTTTAACAGTTAAAAAACGCAACTAATCATTCACCGCCTTGTTTTGCGGACAGCCGACTATATATAATATCGAAAAAATATCATATTCTTTTCGTTCTTTTTCGATTTTAGATCATCAGTTTTGTACTTCCTTTATTATAGACTTTCAACTATTTTTAGATTAAGTCCCACCCGGTACCCAAGTCTCACCTTTGGTTTCTGGAACGATTCTGCAGTTGTGGACTCGATCTCGAAACGCGGTTTTGTTCCATTTTTAAAGATCAAAAAAGGCATTAAATGTTTCATCTGAAACGCGTTCTAGAACGTTTGAAAACGCGTTTTTTGTACGTTTTTAACGCAAAAGTAACGCGTTCTAAGATGTTCAATAGACTGTTTTAACGCGTTTTTTGATCGTTAAAAACAGAATAAAAACGCGTTTTAGTGCCAGTCTTTTTGTACCTGAGACTAGCACTATAAGACAGGTATATAACAAGCAGATGATTAGAAACAGTTTCATTTTCACAATTTTGGAAAAATGGTTGATCGCAAGGCGATACAGCTTTCAGCATTAATATAATCTTCGTTGTTATGAAAAACGTGTGCTCAAAGCGCCTCAGAAAAATTCATAGTTTTGATTTTTTAGACAAGTACATGGCGATGAAAATTTTTTAAAAAGTCACCTAAAAAATGGTGTTTTGAAAAGGTGAAGTTGTAGCAAATTTCTTTTTGTGTGACATTTTTGTGAAAATTGTCTTTTTTGCTGGGAAAAATCTCATATAAATTACACGCAGTCGTCTCATGTTATAGCAGTTGCAACAGTCAAGCAATTAGTCATTTCGAGGCAGTGTTGCGGTATGAAGGTGCTAACGGATAAAGCTAAACTTTTTGCCATACGTAGATGAGCCTTAGTGTGACCAGTGTTTCTTTTGTAAGTGTGTCCATACACTTGAAGAGATTCAGATTTATCATCAGTTTGCAATCTTCAGATCACTAGCAAAGTTGATTTCGAAAGTATTCCTCATCAGATCAAACAATTCATATTGAGCTTTTTTTGCAAGGCAATTTCATCCATTGCCTTCTCTTTTGTTTGTGCGTAGTACACTTCCAATTCCAGTATACACCATACGCCAAATATTTAATCAACTACGATCTCGTCTTCTCTACACTAATCCTTGCGTTGTGGTCTGAACGACTCTTCACGCTTTTTATTTGGCCATATATACGTCTCCGATTTTGGGATCTTCCTACCGAAACTTCGCGCCACCACTGTCTCTGCCTAAATCAAAATTCTTGGTAAAAAAATTGTGATTTAAAGTGGAAACTGCCAAAGCTGATTTAGGTGTAATATGAATGTCTTTACGTGACGCTCTTATACCTATACTGATTAGTCGCATATTATCAAGCTGAATTTTAAAGAGCAACCCATGAGGTTATTTTTTTGATGACTGGCTAATCGATCCTTCACAGTTCATGGCAATCGGAGAGAAAACTGCGATTTCATGGTGCACACTCACAATCCTTTTCTTGTCTATTTGCATACTAAAATAGGCCTCACCAGCAATTCTTCAAATATTTACAATCGAACACCCCAGCATTCTTATCATTGATATTAGACAATCTTGAGGATTTCACTTGATAAGGTAGTTTAGTCTGGATGTATGTGCCAGTGAATAAGCGTTCTATTGAAAGTGGAACTTGCGCTTGTAGCACCATGTGTACTGGGCACTGTCTCTGCTAGACGCAGAGATTGCATCGCGAAACTAAGATCATATCACGGTGGGCTCAACTAACTGTTATAGTACGTGAAAACTTCGGCTTAAAAATCCAACCAGATACGATGCTTAAGCGTGGAAGGAGGATAATGCAACCTATCTATGAACATAGTGGGAAAATGAAGACGATATCATCAGGATAGCACGAAAAAGACGTTCAATGACGATGGTCATGAAAACTGTCACCTAGAATGTTCTTTCACCACTTCTACTATCAGACCTAGTAATGATGTCTTCTGTAAGATGCTCAACGTGTAAAAGATTGATATTTTAGCAGTACCCTGAACAATGAACAATTCTTTCATTTTATAACTCATATTATTTTCCATTTTGTATACGTTACTAGAAGAAAAATGAGAAAAAAAATTTCTTTTTATCCGTAATATGATATCGTAGGCTGTTATGGTTGTTGTGACATACGTGGAATAAAGTGGAGGGCTCAAATCATACAGAAGGTTTTATATTGTTTTTGAAAAAGAACTTTTCATTAAAATTACGAAAGTATATACCGCATATGTCTCTTTGCATGACTCGCGATAATCTATATGTGTCACTATTTGTTGGTGTATATAATAATGCATAAAAAGTCTGAAGTTATAAAAAAGTCGTAGTTCAGAAACATGCTTATAAATCAAAGATTAATTAAACAAGGAAGTAAATACTTCTAGGAGAGACAGTGGCGGATCTAGGAAAATTTTTCTGATAAGAGCATCGAAAAGTCAAGTAAAAAAAGGGTTTTGGGTCGGGAAAATATCAGAATTTTCTGTTTCCGATTGATGCGGCTGTACCCATCGTAAATCCGCCACTGAAAAGAGATGACATTTTCAAAGAGTACAACTATAGTAACGAGATAAGAATCGCTAGTTGTTAGTATTAATAATTTTGTTTTTGTTTCTTTGTGATTATCTTAGTGGTCCGAAAAATTATTGACCGCTCTATGATGTGTCATTTTCTTTTCTATGCCATTGAAAGCCTAACCAGCAAGAGAGTTTCGGTTTTAACCATTGTATAGTCTAACCTTTACAGTCTAGCGTCAAATTTTATGTTATTTAACAAAAAACATTTGTGAAAAAATGTTCTGTTTACTATGTTGCATTATTATTGATCCACTTAAGAAAAAAACCTTTTCTAATAGAAAGATGGAAACTATATTATTCGATAGCTGCATTCTTATGCTACACTTTTGTAAAGAAATATTTTTAATAGCTTTACAGCGTAATTATAAACTTCAATCAGAGGCAATATGACGTCATAATTTTTAGAAAAGTCACACGTTTTCAGAAACTAAACAATATGAAAAGCTTTTCAATCAGCCATTTGAAAAAGCTAATAATATGAACATCGATTCAAGTGAAAACTTTTACTTCTAACATGGCTTCGATTTAGCTTCTTGCGCGAGAACGTTAGTTTAAACTATCTGGATACTTTGCATCGCACCATCGACTACAAAAAAAAATCATTATTGGCACAATCACGAATTACACAATACAGGGGTGTCTATCCCCACCTGAATATTTGAGGTATTTTGTAGCACTTCGAAGGTTCGATCACTCAGTGTACCATCTAAAAAATTAATTTCTACAGCAGAAAAGCGTACCACCTTACGTCTATTTGAGGTATTGCGCCTCAAACGTCCCACAGGATAGACGCCTCTGACACAATAAAATTACAGTTCATGGCAGAGAGTGAAAGAGACCATGCATATATAAATAAAATATTCAGCAGAGAAAAGGGGCGAAATTAAATATATTATTTTGTTTAGTTGTACAGAACTATTGAATCGAGGCATTTTAGCAGCGATGTTCAAATTTATTTGTTGCTGCTCTATGGCCCTTTACATATTAGATGTGAATATGAAAATACCTTTTCACTTATCATGAATATGAGGTGTCAAATGCAATAAATCTGAATAGCTTTGGAGATAATATCAAAAACAACAACAATCATCCAGTGTTTGCGTATAAAAAAAACAGACCAGATAAAAAATAATATAATAGAAATAACTTACAGGAGAAAATCAAAAAGCCTTCAACTTAAACCATTATTATTTCTTTACTAATCATCCTACACGATCAGCACTATAGGTTTTTTCAAGCAGTCAAGATTTTCTTTATATTATTTTACTTGCCGTGATTTGACTAGAACTTCATGGAAAAGCCATTCAGCGCTTCTTTTCTACACTTCTACACTAATGTAATTCATTTATTTTGGCCTCGTAATTCACCTTTAGAGGTGTTAATCAGAGTATCATTACATAGTTTTCTCAAGTGTTTGTTCGTCTGTTAACTCGAAAACGGCGACCCTACACTCTAAAAAATAATGTGTCTTAAAATAAGAGCCTATAATTCGATTGTCGCATAGATCCATACATAGGTCTCAAAATAAGACGGATAACGATAAGACTGATCAAAAGGTCTTATGTTGAGATCTATGTATGGGTCTAATCGTCAACTGAATTATGGAGTCTTAATTTAAGACTGATAAATTTTTCTGGCTTATTTTTCATAGTAGTTCGAATGTTAAGGTAAGCTCATCAGAGTGGGTCAGTAGGTTCAATCTAGCTGTGTTAATATTTTACAAGAGAAAAATGATAACATTCTAAGGTATTTCATTAAATCCTCTGTTCTCTATATACAAGTAGTCAATGCGAACCAAACGAAGTGAGTCATTTCTCGTACTTCAGACGGAAAAAATAAGATCTTTTTCTTCTGTCTTCAAAATAGGACGGATAGGGTATCTGCCTTGAACTAAGACGATAATAAAAAAAGTTAAGCCGATACAGGTATAGATTAAGACGGATTCTTTTTAGAGTGTAGAGTAAATTTCTTCAAATGTCGAGAGACTTAGTAGTACTTCTAGTGAATGTGCAAAAATTGGGTACCTATTAGATACCCTGTTGCAGTAATGTCATAGGTACTTGGCTTCCGCAAGCAAAAGTATACAGATACCTTCCAAGTCGTTTTTTAGGTACCTCTGCTAGCCTCAGCCAAGTATTAAAGTACCTAACAAGTAATTCCAGGTACCCATCCAAGTAATGTCATGGGTACTTACACATACTTGGCTTGCGACAGCCAAAGTTCTTAGGTATCCGAATTCAAGTACAGTCACTAGGGAGCGTCTGCAGAAATCTCTCTCATTTTATCAGAAATTAACATGTATGCTGTTTTCTCTTTAGAAAATCTTAAAATAGATATCTGAAGTAATTAAGTGTTTGAATTGTATCTGTCTCTTTCCTTTTCAGAATCGATTCAAACGTAAATACGTCGTCAACAATTACGAATTCGAACAGTGTTAGTGAGAAAAATAGTTCAACTGAATCGCATCTTGAACCATCAAAACGCGAAGAGTTTTGGAATTCAAAAATTCAAAAAGATTACAATTTTTTAATGAGTGAAGAACTTATCAGTCGTTGTAAAGTAAGTAAGAAGCAAGATAGACACGATACATTTTATGAAATATCTTCCAGAAATTTTCCATAACCTAAAGATAGGCGTAGATCTGGAAAAATAGCGTTTCAGTCAGTGGGCAGAAAAATGTTGAGCTGTCTTCGGCGTATACTAATCGACCAGCTGCCTAGTTAAGAATCTCCGAGGGACTTCCATTTCAAGATCACAATGGAACTGTTGAGGGAGCTAGTTACGCTAATTTTCCTGAGTTTTTACTGACATTTAGACATTTAGATATTCCATTATTTTGTTTAATCGCGTGGTCAGCTAACTCTGCTACCGTAAGAGAATTCTGTAACGGCTTTTCATCATTTTGTTTTGCCTACAATCAGACATGTGCTCCAATAAAAAATTTTCCGCGGCGGCAATTGAAATTTTTACCATAGACGGCGGCGGCGCGAGGCTATGAAGATTTCCTGCGCCATCGGCGGCGGTGTGTAAAAATTGGTTATCGGCAGCGAATATCATAATTTAAGTAAAACAACGTTCTCTTTCATTTCTGGCACGTTCGTCGCGCACCAACTGTATCTGTACGTTGCCGTATACGAAAAGATAGAAACACGCTGTACTCTAGATGCCTAAGGTAAGAATGTACTAACAAAAACAGTCAAAATTTTCTTCGTTCTCGGCGACGACAAAAGTTTAGCGGCATGGCGGCAGCGGAAGTCAGAACAGTTTTTCTCCGCAGTCAGTGGTGGCGGTGGAAGTTGCAACAATTTTTCTCCGCCTTCAACGGCGGCGGCGTTTAAAAAATGACCGGCAGTGAACCGGCGCGGCGGCGCACATGTCTGTCTACAATTCCTAAACTGACTACTGTAGAGTGCCGCGGGTCATCTTAAATTGAAGAGAAAAGTCTGACTAACATCCATCTTACGCCGTTTTTCAGCCTTACAATATATATCGTTAAGAAGCTGTAACCTAAACATTGGACACTACTATCCGTCCCAAAATACAAGGTCATCGGTTACTTTTGGAATAACTCAATCACACTGATAGATGTGTTTCTGCTTATAAAAACATGTCTTAGGGTCTTAGTGACTTGCGGTTTTCACTAAGTTTCCGCTAAGACCTTAAATTGGCTTCCCTAAGACCAATTATTCTCAAAAAGGGCTAAAGGTCTTAAAATCTCGCAGAAAGTGATCTACAACAGAACGTGATTTCTTAGGATTTCTCACGCAATTCTAAACAAGGAAGAATTCAAATCAGGTTAGAGTATCGGTACAAAATATCGAAGACATGGGTTTAATTCTTAGGTTAAATTTTCTTTGCACAATTTCTACATACAGCTGTAATATAAATCAAAACCGTTTACATTGAGAAAAGTGGTGATTTTTTCTCCTTGATTGTCTCTGCTTTCTTTTATTAAAAGTTGAATAGCTATGGTGAGCACATGAATATGCTTATACTTTCTCTTATTTTAACTTATTAATATGCGTCGATGAACTGACCGGCAAATAAATATAGCTTCACTCTATACCTGTTCACTCTAATATCGAACGAATAGCATGTCTAAATAGTTTCTCTTCCATTGCATTCAACTTATGATTTCTAGGTCGAACTGATTTATTATAAATTTTTCTTACATGCGTGTTAGATTATATTGTCATTTTTGAATATGTATGCATTACTATACACATATCTCATTTGCGACATAATTGCTCTTCCTATATGTGTAAACTACTGCATAAATTGATCGCAACTTTATATATTAGATGATGCCATATGTATTTATTTATTTATTTGTTGTTTATTTATAGAATTCGACGGGAGACACCTTTACGTCTGTAAATGATTTGCATCATGTGTCATACAAAGAGTTTGAAAAACAATATAGTGAATTAGCACATTGGTGTGATAAAATTTATGAGACAATTACACAATTTTCATCTAATGCGCTTAGTCGATATTTACGTCAAGTATGTGTACATAGTCTTTTAAACAAAAGTTTAATAAGTAGTCTCAAATTTAGAGAGTATACGTCTTTTCCTTTATATCATACTTGTCACTAATGTTGTTATCTGATTTGGATGCTAAAATTACTATCGATCTAAAATAGAGTTTTATCTATGCGATGGTACATGATAAATCTTTGATAAGATTTAACAAAATTTTGTATTAATTAAAAACGCAGAATAGTTAGTTAATGTACTGCAGTGATTGGAAGACATGAACAGAATAGACCTTGCTAGGGTATATTCAAACCATGCGCCAAATTGGATTTTAACAACCAGAACCAAGACCTTTAGTATTGTACAGTTTTTTTTTTCTTTAGAAATATTATGAAGAAACGTATGAACAAGGAAGAATACGAATCAAATCATTCGAAAATTATGCAGAAAAATTGATTCAACGTTTTTCAGATTTAAAACCGGAAATCATTACAAAAATGAAAACACTGAATGCTCAATGGCTTGACCTTGAATCTGCCATAATATCATATTTGGATGAAGATTTTGATAGGATATTAAAGGGTAGGCATAGTTTATCATTTCTTAATAGTCACAAAGCATAAGACAAATTTGCATGTAAAGTGTAGAAGGGTATCAAGATGTCTATCTTATCCGTTAGATCGAATCAGTGTAATTTCTAATTGTGCTTGTAAACCTGTTGTGACACTAAAGCTAGTAAATTTTGTTTTACTATTTAGATCTTGATCAAGAATTATTAATGTTTGAAGATTGGCTAAATAAAACAGAAGAAGAACTTCGAAAATTAGAACTCATTAAAGACATAACATTATCTCAATTGGAAGAAAATATTAAATATCATACGGTATGCTCTATCAAACATATTTTTTTTATCTAAGTTTTTATTAAAAATATTCAGCGTTTGAGACACGTTCTTTGAATAAAAGTAGATGTTCAATGGATATTTATTTCAAAAAGTGTATGTTTTAGCATTGTCTCTCTATGAACAAACGATTGTTACGTGATATCATAATTGAAAGTGTTTGTCATTGCGACTTCACTTTTATTTCACAGCTTTGAGAGTGATACGTTATTGACATTCAAAACTGTGTATGTAACTCCCTCTTAGACAAAGATATAATTTTACCGTTATTCTTTATATCAGTTCTAAATGCTTTGTCAAGATAGCTAACTAGGAGTAATACAATGCGTGAAAGACTGTCTTTACATGTGTATATATCCTTTCTAGACTTAACAAAGAAAGAGACAAGGAGAAAGAGAGAAAGAAATATGTAAATAGGGGATGAACGCTTAAATTGTGAGGATCTATTATTAAGAGTTTAATAATTTTATCAAGATTTAGTTAAAAGAAAAAGAAGTATCAGTTTGAATGTACATACGATAAACCTTTTCTCGTCAAAGAATACTATCGTTTTTGTCCATTCATTCTATCATCGACTTTATTGTTTATCAAACATATTTTAATCTTACTAATTATTTTGAACAGAAAAAGTGATTTTACGTTTTTATCTCTCTACTGGGTCATATCTGATGAATGATAAGAAACTAATAAAATACCAGAACATGATGATGAATAAAATTTAAATTCTATTTGATAAAAAGTGCATGTGCACGAGATTATACTCATAGGTGGTTGTCAAAGCAGGTAACGAATAATCTATACTATGTGGAAGCCCTACATTAGTAAAAAATAGATCTTTTTTCTTTTCTTCAATCCATGAGTTTTTTTATGGTGATTTGTACCGTAAGTAGCTATGGTAGACTACAATCATCGTAGAAAAAAATTTCAGTCTGATCTCAACTTCATGGATTCTCGTTCAAAATGGGAAATATTTCCGCGTCCACATCCGACAGCGTAACTTTCGTTTTCTCTCCATGTTCTCTATTTTGATAAACTACTACTCTTCAACAAAAAAAAAAAAACGATTTGTTTTGCAAGTATGAAGACAATAAGACAATAAGACAATAAGATGTTATCGTCAGTATTCTACTGATTAATGATCGTGTGCCGTAAAATGTATTTTAATGATCTTCAAGTACGTTTGAGTACTTAATGGATAAATTAACGCACCGTATATTTTAAAAATGATAACAATAATGTTTGTCTTTTTTTTTTCTAGAATCTACAAAGTGAAATTAAATCTCGAAATAGTCGTGTATCGTCCATTATTGAAATATGTGATCGTTTAAAAGATGATGGCTGTGAACAAGTACCATTAAATTTGGCTAGTAATCTTGAAAATCGTTGGCATCAAGCATGGCTTGTTTCGGTTGAAATTCAATGTAAACTTGAAGAACGACTGAAATTTTTAAAAGTAAGTTTATCAATAAGTTAGAGAACCATGACAATCGTCTGAGTATTACTTAAAGATATTTTGATCTAAAATGTTTTCCTTCTTGAGTTTCAAACCATTTCAAGTTTCAAACGTAATGAAATTGATGAATGCATATTTGATTAATGCATTTTTATATAGAGACTAATTCATTTTCAGGATCTACCTCATGATTTTCAGTTTTTTAAAGGTGTAACTATTCTTGTAGTTCTCAACGTTACTATGTTTTGGATAGATGAGAAGACGTGAAATAAAAAGATGCACCACTGACTTTGATTTCAAGTGCAGATTCTGTTAAAATCAAATATTCTTTATATAAAATGCGTTAACCAAATAAAAACTTCAAGCACGAATCCAATTTAACTAAAATATGCAAAATGTAGAGTGGCCTTTTTCTCGCTATGAAAAGGTACAAGGTTGAAACCTGTAACAAACAGCTTGCAAATAGATGCAATTTACTGGCATAATTTTTTTCAAATCTGTGACTACTTCTTAAAGAAATTTACATTTTTTCATAATTTGGATCTGAAACATGGAGGCTACATCGAGTAAGCTGATCTTTTACAGAATTTATATAATACCCTTAACCTATCAGCAGATAGTTGATTCAAGGCTGAATGCTAAGACAAAAACATGAAACATCATCGAATTGTGTTTTCTTTTTACATTGGAAACTTCAGTTAGTGTCTCACTCAGGGAGAGAAACGCTTTAGACCAAAATGTTTTCAAGCAGTCTGTAACTCATCATTCCCCGTCGTCGATACTTGCTTGGCTTTGAAATAAACTCATTCTTAAAAGTATGTATAGGTATTTGAATGATCTTTCTGTTATAAACGAATGATTTAAACTAATGATATATACATAACGTTCGAGAGATCATCATTCTGTGTAATTCATGAAGATTACGATTCATAAGAAAAATATTGTAATTTCATACTTAGGATGTCAAATTTCAATGGTACTATACTTTTTTCTGTATAGTTAGATGGAATGACACGTATACAACGTGAAATTTTGAGTTATGACAATCATATGACATTCTTTGTTAGATTGAATATCATTCAAAAGTGTCAGACTCAAAACGTTTTGTTGACGTAGTTCCTATAGACGATGCTCTGCAATTTTTCTTAACGAGTAGATAACGCTATAAGGAATCGAGTTTCTTTCTCGATCTACAAAGCGTCTTATCTGTTTAAAACATATTATAAAAATTTTACTATTTTTTTTTATTATTTTTTATTCAACTCAAATATTTTATGATCTACTTGTTCTAGCAAATTTTATTTGTGAGCAAAAAATTACTGTCATCTTTTAATTTGAAGTTTGAAATCATTGTGAACATATGACTACTACTGATCATGATATTTTTGTTGTTATGACCTGATACATAAATAGAATCACGAGTCACACAAGATTTTTGTAGTCATCAACTATGTTGACCAAAGTTAATTACATTTCTTAATAAACTTTTAATTTTTATAGATACTTGAGCAAGTAAGATTTGTTCATTTCTTTAACGTATACAGAATTAATCAAAGTTTTCTTTTTCCTTTACTTATATATAGGAGTTTCAACAATGGTACTATACAAACATACATAGCGTATACTGTCGTGTTTTTTCTTCGTTTAATAAATACTATGATCATAAGTCAATTCGTCCGGTTTTCTTTTTTTTTATGTTCATCAGCTTGCGAGATGTTATAGGCCTTTCTTTTTACAGTAACAAGAAAAAAAACGTTCGAAGAAAGAACAAAAAAATACCGTTCTCATTCATTCACCTATATTGTACAATTTCTGATAGTTAGTAGAAGGGGAAAAGAAAAGTTGATTGTCACAATCTAGCTGCCTATTATTGTTACGTGAATTGTATTTTAAACGAAAAAAAAAAGCACATCAAACTTAAACGTTTAATTTTTTTTCCTATCAACCAACCCAATATTATTACCATAATCTATCGATCATATTAACGATTGTACAAAAAACGATTAATATCAAGGTAATAGCGTTTTAGTACATGTTTTTCCAAAGTAGAATCCGTATCTTTAGTATAGCAAAACTTACCTAATATATATCATTTTGAACGATTTTTGACTGTGACGGATTTATATAAGTTAGTCAGAGATATTCACATATTTTGGTTCATTATTTAAAGTTTTATTTTTTCTTCTAACCTGCGTCAGTTCAAATAGAACATTTCGGTTACTCAATTGGTAGTTTCATAAATCGATGTATATTATCATGTACAGTTAAAATGGAAGTGAACCGTTGTTTTTTGTCATAAATGAAGTAGTGGCGTTTTTGTTTAATGCCTAAGGGAGATATTGTGTGGAGCTACATATTGACAGTCTCAGAACATCAAAGAAATTGGTGAATCGATCTAGCGTGTTTGTGTGCATTTAAATCGACTTAATAAAAATAATCACTCTAGCAAAGTATGTGTGATAGAAACAATAATTAATAATTTATAAGAATTGGAGAAAACGTTTGTTTATGCAATAGAACACATGTTAATTGTTAAAGTTCTTGTTTCTGTCATAAACAACATTGAAAATGACTATAGAAAAATTATTGTTTAGTTTGAGATCGTTTGTTATGTGTATGACATAAAGTGGACACTGATTAATTACAAATATTAAGAAATCATAAAATTGTCTATTATTCATGTATTTACTCTTTAGATATATATGTATGCTTTCTATAATGTTCTTTAGACATATAGATATATATAACACAAATCTAAATTTAATTTTTCATATAAATCTTGATATAAAATAAATATATTAGAGGTACACGTACCTTGACATTAGATATAAACATAATGATGGGTCATAGAAAAAAAAAAATCAGAAAGTCTATAAATTTAATACAACAAGTTATATTTCAACGTTTATATAATTATAGTTATGTTTTTTATTTTTTATTTTCATAATCATTGATTAATGGATGATAATAAATAAATATAGAATCTTTAATGATTAGTTTTGTCTATGTTTAAAAATAGTTTCTGTTTCATGTTTTACTATATCGATTATTGAATAGATAAATTGTGAATTTTTGAAGTATATCTTCTATTAATCATACGCATTTTGTAGTACTATATAAAAAATTATGAACAAATTTATAAAACGAATTGAGATATACAGAGTTGAAAGATTATTACTGTAAACATTTTTTCTCTTTTTTGTCTAGGCATACGTTGACCATATAATTTATAATTGTGTGATGGAGTCGATAAAATGAAATGTAACATATTCGCAGGTCTTTCTTTCTCTTTCTGTTCATTCTTTGAATGATTAATTTAATTTTTTTATTGTCGAACATTTCTAATTTTTGTGTTCATCCACGTGAAAATCATAAATGTCATTGATATGCGTCATATGCCTGATTGTCTCTCTCACATCCATATGTTAGTCGATTTTTTTGTTTTTTTTTTATTCATAAAGAACAATGGTGACTGCCAGTATTAAAATATGGTGTATCTAAATTGTACAATTGGGAGAGGACACATTTGATGAAGTGTCAAAGTTTGTTGAGTTGAAATCCGCTTACAAAAAATATGTTACATATCAACTCACTTAAATTCAAAGAAACACATTTCAATTTCATACGTGTCGTTAGCTTCTAAGGAGATTTGTACTGTTCAAATATCTATTCTAGATTATTTATAAGGATTCATTTACTCAATCAACAATAATATAGAAAAAGTTTGTCTTCTTTTAACTAACAGTTTCTCTTCTTTTTTTTTTTTTGGTATAAAGAAGTCTAGTAAATAAGACAATGATTGTTTTCGTGTTCGATCAAACTATGCGCGCACTACTAACACCATATATTATAGTCGTGTGAGAAATTAAACAAACGATTCTTACTATTAGAATGTACGAGAATAGGTGATAATTAGAAATAGATATAATGTAATCCCATAGTAAAAAACTGTTTTAAAATTGTACACAGTAGTTTCAGTTGAGTAAGCATATCGTTTGTTCTTTATTAAAAAAACTTGTACTCAGTTTTTCTATTGCTCGACAGACTGAAAAATTATCCATTGTCTTGTATAACTCTAGATAGGTTAGAATGCCTACGGGTTTATTGTGTGTATCTATTATAGTAATGTTTCCGAAATTTAGAGAGTGCTGTTTTAACACGCGTATGCGTACTCGTTTATCATTATCTTGTTTGTGCAGAAATACTACCTAGCGGCATTGTTGATCTAAATATTAAAAAAATAATGATTTAAAATACATAATCTACAGCTGAATTAACTTGTTGATATTGCTTGCAATTAAAAGAATATAGTCCGTTTATATTATATCTATTTATTTGTCTCAGTTGTCTTTTGTTCAATGTGGAATCTGTCGCTTTTGTTAGTGGTATATATAAGCTCTGATGTTGTCTGGATACATATTAAATTGAAGAATATAAAAATTGTACATATATGTGTTATTAGAATAAAGCCTTGATACGTGTAGTACAGTATATGTACTAAATAACTATTGACCTTCTTCATTTTCTTTCTTTTTCTTTCTCTCTCTCTCTCTCTCTCGCCATTCTGCTTTGAGTCTTCAACTACGTTGTTTTTTTGTTGTCTGTTCAATTTTTTTTTTATAAACCAAAGTTAAGCTTTTGACTAATGGTGATGAATGCTGATCCGAAAAGCAGTAAGTAATAACAACAATTCAAAAAAAAAGTAAAGCTTCTCGCACAGCATGTTTGTGTAGACACGAGAAGAAAAAGAAAAAAGAAAAAAAATTAAAGTTGGTTGGTGTTAATCAGAATTGAAGAGGCTGAACATATCATATTCATGTATAAAAATAGCAAAGACTATTCAGACACGTCTATATATGAACGAATAATTTAGACAAAAATTAACTCTAGACAGTACATCTACTAACAGATACAATACAGTAGTTCTAAAACATCTGCTTTTTCAGTCACGATCTCAAGGTAATTTTTGATGTTTCTGTGAATATCTTCATTTGAATCATCTGTCAGAGTTGTAAGTTACATTCATTCACAAATGATTTTCACTATTAATTTCTTGCGTTTTAAAACACCCTATTGTTGTTACAATTTTTCTTTTTTAAATTTAGTGTTAGATTTCCTAATTGTTTTTTAATATTTATAACTTAACTTTTCTATCACACTGATAATAAAAAGTTGAACAGCTGTCGCATAATTTATGTAATTCTGTCAATGTTAGATTATAAATTATGAATTTTATATGTAACTATAATTAAGTTGTCAAGGATAGAGATGATAATCAACACTTTCTATGGAGAATTCAAGTACTAGCTGACCATGAAAACTACACTTAATTGAATTATTTAAAGATAAGTGATCATGAACATGATTTATATTTCGTTGGTAGAAAATTTTTTCAAACGTTTTTTGTATCATATTAAATATTCATGTTTTGGAAAATTACACGAGATATTTTTCTTTGTCATCACATTGAAAGTAGTAGAGATGTGTATTACTTGATACGTTACACTTCAGATATTGTCTAATGCTCAGATATTTATGACATTTACATGCATTCTAAATTATTAAATATAGACGGTTTAATTTCAAACACAAGAGTTCATAGAATTGGATCATTTTCTACTTCTTCTTCTTTAATTCTTATGTTAGAAAATCTATATCATATTGTTGTCATGCAATATATATGATACATTTCCATGGTACATTGTCGCCAACAAAATGATTATAAATTTCTTCTCTTTTTTTTTGAACTTTAGTTGTGATATTATTGATGAACAACGGTTGATCATGTGTTGGTATACACTGTCAAAGACATAAAGATAAGAATTAGAGAATATGCCAGTGATTACATCAGATCTAGCGAGAGAGAATATAAGATAGAATTTCCTTATGTCTCAATTGAAATAGTGAAACACACACAAACATGAATAAGAGACAGCTCAATTGTAGAGATGATCAACTGACCATTTACTCGCTTGCTCATTATTACATAAATCTCATGTGATTAAAAAAACGAAGAAAAAAATAGTACGTTATCTCTATCACGAATCAATTTTCTATATATTTATTACTTTTTGGGTTTGTAAAGAAAAAAAGTCAGGTGAAAGGAGAATATTGGAAAACTATTAAACTTTCCCAATAGGTACAAAAAATAGTCTTTCTTCTTTTATATTTATAATTAGAAAATTAAAGCCTTGTTCATTATAACCTTCATACGTATGTCAAATTTATATTCATCTAATCACTCGTTACTATATATATGATTAATATAATAAAAACGAGATTTTAATGCGAAACAACGTATGTATAGTATCAGATTTTTTTTATTCTAAAAATATTAATATTTATTAAAGCTTAAAATAGTACACAGTGATAGTGTCAAAATAGGATGAAGGTGATTTTCAACCGTTGTTCAAAGTGCCAGTTATTGATGCATAAAAGTTCGACTAAGTTTGATGTTTGCGAACGTATTGTTCTGATTGAATAGACAGTAGTAGAAGCGTGCATGTGTATATGCATTTGTTAATTATTTTCTCATCAGTAACAATTAATAATCTATACTAACCCACATCGTTTCGTTAACGTTGTTTTTAAAAGAAAAAAGGAAATTAAAAATTTTCTTCAAGGTGATACTTACTGTTGTATGAAAAACATTTCTTGTTCATAAATCAAACGATCTTCTGGATTTGTTAAGGTCAACTGATCAAAGATAAATGGATTGTTACAGTTTATGAGAGTAAAAATAAAACATGTTACTTTTTTTGTTCGAAGGCGTTCAATCTATTTTATGTCTTATATACATTATCATGCAGAGAACATAATTGTGATAACTTAAATTGTTTGTGGGCGTATTTAACAACATTGACTGTATGTCGATTAAGATGGAAAACAAATGAGAACGATTAGAGTAAATTTTAGATGACATTTTTTGATTTCTTTTTTTCTCATGTTATAAAGGAGCTGCTAATAGTCAAAATAAAACACATTGAAACTTGTATTGTAACATTATCGTTTTCAGTACCGAAATCTTACAGTTGGTAGCACTCAAAGTTACCACGTCTCTTACAAACAAGCTTTTATGGCAACTAACACACCTTGTCTCACTCAGCACTTATTGAATAGTACTGTAGATATATATTTGAATATTTCTATTCTATTCTTTCTTTAGTTAAATGGTTCAGATTCTTACAATACAAATGTATCTCGTATAACCGCCGATAGCGCGTCCGATAGCGAACAATCAAATTCATCCGATTTAGACGTTATTCCATTTCATTATACCGAATACGAAAAAATTCCTATAACTGCCGACGATATTTATATTTCGCCATCTTCATCTGATAAACAATTTCTATTAGTTAATAACGTAAACGACAGTACACAATATCCTAGAAAATCGTTCAGTACTGATAGTCTTGATCTAGTTCAAAAATCAACAAATCGTAAACGTCGTTCATCTTCTTCTCTGTTACTATTAAACTCGAAATACCCACTGGAACGTCTACCACTTTCGATTCGTTTAATACGTAAGGCCAAACGGCGTAGTCGAAATCAAACAACAAAAATCATGTCATCCTCGGACTCTCCATCACTCCCTGCTGCCAATGGAGAAAATTCTTTATCAGGTGGTATTCATTCGTTATATTATTCATTGACCAGTATTAACAATAGTAATAAAAGTAGTCGCAGTAACAGTTGTCATTCAAATAGTGAAACGAATGAAAAAAAGACCTCATCTAAACTTGATGTTGGTTATGCAAGTGACGATGATGGGCAATTATCGCTGAGACATTTAGATACGATAAAAACAAGAATATGCTCATCGACATTAGTCAATTGTCAACCGTCAACAATTTTAAATGTCAATCAGCCGGATTCTAATTCATTGTTGAATGCTCGTAAAGCATTCAGTGACTATTCAATACGTTCAAAAATTATTTTATATTCACCATTACCAACAATGTCTTTACCTGTTTTTAATCAACAACAATTAACATCGTGGAGACATAGTATAACAAGTGCATATGATACTTGTTCAAACACAGGTGACTTAAGTGCTACAGAAGAAATGCAACAGCAACAACAACAAATATCAAATGTTGAACAAGAAAAAAAAATCACGCTACTATCATTATTAGATGATACAAAACTACAATCACCACCGTCATTGTTAATTTATGATAAAAAATATACGTGTATTGATGAAACAAAAGATTTAATGGTTAAACAGGCTATTCATAAAAATAATCATACATCACGTTTTCGTAAAAGATTTTTTCGTTGGAATAAAACAGGCAGGTATATTCCACATCGAGCAATGACAACAATAACAGTAAAAGTGGATGGAGCTGAAACATCGAGTACAACATCACCTGAACAAGATAGCCCCGACCATAAACCTCAACAATCAAAAACACCGATGACACATCGATGTACATCTCATTCGTATGATGCTTCAGCAGAATATACAGATCCTGAACAAAGTGAAAACGATGTAGATTCTGAATATGGCGGTGGTACACATTCAGATTATGATCATCAATATCAACACAATCATACAATAGTTTTTTCCAATAGTAATAATCAGTTGCATGAAAAAAACTTCTATAATCGATATACTGCAACAACTACCGCGATGACAGCTACTACAACGACAGGTTATTCGTCAGATATTGAACATACAACAACAGGTGGCATATTATCGGATGATGTTTCAACAACTGATAAAAAAGGATCACCATTTTATTCTTCAGCATCAAATGATAAATTAGCAGAAGAACTGAGCATTGGTCATGAAGTGATTGAAAATAAGACAAATGCAAATGATGGTAAGTTTAATTAATTAGTCAAATTCTCTTCCCACTTGAGTCAAAGTTCTCTATTGTTGTTGAATACAGTATCGATGAAAACCGAAAGCGTGTGATACACTCCCTCATAATATTTGTTAGAAAAATTAACTATTTTAAGCGTTTCCATCATATTGCCAATTAGCGTTATCCACTATTTTTCAATTATGTGAACTAATACATAGATAATAACTATCGCCGATATAACCAACATACTATAATTTCATGCATCATCACTATCTGATCGCTAAATCATACGTGCACGATTACTCTAAGATTCACCTTCGATTTTCAACAGAAAATTATAGAAATTAGTAAAGTTATAAAAACCTTTATGTTCAGATCTATTTATTTTATGGACAGTTATCACGACTATATTAAGATAAACGTGGGCGTCCAAATTTGGTTGACTGCCTGCTTTCAAACCAACTCAGAACCCCAAATGAGACCTCCTCTTGATAGAAATAATAATTGTTCGTCAGTGTAGGATAGGACATTTCTTATTCAAACTTCAACATTTCATCGATCTCACTCAAATGACCTCAAACATTCATAGATGATTGACTTGTTCTAACTCTTTTTGTTCACCGAAGGATTTTTGTATTGTACCATGTTATCTTATCATAATCTCAATCGAACGCATAATCGTAACAATTTCTAGTCTTGTGCAAGGATTCATACGCTTGTCTTCCTAATACAGCATGACCACCATCATCTCTAATCACGTAACGATAACTGTACATTTAAGTAAAACGATTATTTGCTACTGCCATCAAATAAATCTCTAGTATATTTTGATTAATGGATACCGAAATAGTTGTTGATTATGTGATTGGTTGGAACGACAAGCTAATATATAAACACGTTTAAGCAAAATTTTCTACTTGTATTTATAGCGCCCGATGTAAAATTTAAATCAAAGTCTTCATATTCTGTGATACCCTTATTGATACGATACTCTTTCGCAGCAGTTAGATTTGATATAAGCTTTATTCTGTCAGAATACAAGCGGAAAAATATTCCATTATAGTATTCTAAACTAAACTATCGAAGAACACAAAGTCAATTTTGTACGAATGGAGATTCAAACATGTGAACTTAGCTTTGCAGTTAACTGCAAAACTAAATTTATTGTTCTGTATCTCTTCTAACTATCTACAGTTATCTAACTATTTACAGTTAGATTTCAGACAGTGTTTAAAACATGTATTTGACGTTTAACAACTTTAGTTCGATGATTATGAGTGATTATAATTCAACAGAGATAGATTTAAATTTTCACCAATGAATGTGTCACTTAACGTCAGTTTTAAACTAGAGGATTCAGCATTGTTCGTAGAAATTAAGAACATAAGATATCCATTATACCTTCATTATGCTTATGTAGCATAGATGTAAACCAACTAGTCGGTGTCCACTGAAACGCATGGGACGCCAACCCGTTCGAGCGATAATCACTTATTTTGACATTGAAAAATCATAATAACAAAACATGATTCAAGATGCCTGCTTGCATTTCTATCTTTTATACTTTTAAACTGGTAGATAACGATACAGAAAGTTGGAATACAGATAGAAAAGATTATAATATTGGACTATTTACAATGTAAAGGGAGAACTCCTTGAGTGTATTCACTAATTCTAGAGACCCGCATGGGTTAGAAAAACGTAACCCGAACCCGACACGACTGTCAAAATGCCGACCCGATAAATTTTTACTTTTGTTTTGTTCTTAAGTTTATGTATTTTTATTTACCTATTTGTTTAGTGGAGGGCATCGCATTACGGGCGAGCGACCTTCTGCTAATGGTCTGCTAATATTCCAGAAAATTTGAGCGTTATATCTTTCTAAATTCGCAATATCACCTCTAATAAAAGAGAAATGTTATCATTGAAAATTGTGCGGCTTGGAAAAACATTGTTTTCCTTCAACAAGAAAAGTTCAATAACAAGCGAATGTAGGAAGATATAACGCTTAAATTTTCTGGAATATTAGCGGACTATTAGCGAAAGTACAAAAGAAAATTTCACTTCTTAATTCTTTGTTTTGACCGGGTTACAGAATTATTACTGTTACTACACACAGTGTTCCCTTAGAACAAAAAAATTCATAACTTTTGAAAGAACTGATATGGATCCTCCTTTAAGGGTTTATCAGCACACTTTCCTCAATTAACTGGCAAAATATCATTAAAAACCGAGTTGGACATCTGAAGACCTTGCCTCGTTAGTGAATGCAGTTGTTCTGAAATAAGTATTCCAACTGAAAATTCCAGTAGAGTTAACGTTTCAACGAGTAATACAAAATTGAAATTATTATCTATATTATAAATTGCGCCGCAAAATGTTCAACCCGAACCCGACCCAACCCGACAACATCTTAACCCGAACCGATCCTAGGGTCGGGTCGGGTCGGATTGCAGATCTCTAGCTAATTCTTACGTATGTCTTCATGGCATTCCCCAAACATTCTAAATTTAAGGAAACTGAAGTTAGCAACTTACAATGCCAGATATCATTAGCTACTTTCCTAGCTGTTCTCTCGATAACAAGATTGAATCGAGTCAGTAAGATTAATAGAAAGATAACTCGTCTCGTTGTATTGATTTCTGCCAGAAAGTAGACATTTTAAAACGTAAAAAATATTGTTATGATGCTCACGTAGGTAAACCCCAGCGTTCTCATTGTTCGTTTGCTTTTGTTATTAGTCTGTAATATATAGAGATTCTTGTTTTTCCACTTAAGCTGTTTTTTTTGTCCTCTACACGGAAAAATGTATACCTTTTTCTTGTCTTAGACTAAGATAGATAGTTTCGGCCGTCTCAAATTAATAGCTGCTCTGACATTTCAAAAAAAAAGGAATAATGTTATCATCGATATAATTTTTTTCTAGTTATCTTCAAATTGGAACAGTTTCTTTCTTTTACTGTTAATATATGCATTGTATAATCTTTTCAAAAAAAAAGTATCGTCCTCGGGCATATAGATGACCTAACCAGTCTATTAGAAGGAAGTCAATCGTATTTTATTAAAGTAAAAAGTCAACTACTCCAGGAAAAAAGATATTCAAAATTGAGTTGGTTGACATTTTATCTTCAATTGTTGCAGAAATTATAAATCTCTGTCTCTCTCTCTGTCTGTTATGAAAAGAAACGGAAACTGTATTGTATCATGTTCGCGGAGAGTAATACTCGAAAATGAACATTACAAACAGTTTATGTTTCAAGTTTAGTTTTGTTCACATATGTAAGTCATATGTGTTATATAATTAAGTATTTGATTTTCTTTTCTTTTCATTTCAATAGATACTTCAGAAATTGTTGAAATTGATCAAGGGTTAAAGTCAAAGGTTCAAGATAGTTGTGAAAACTCAGAAGGTAAGAGAAAAGGATTTATTTACCATATTTTTCTTGGAACAGACAGTTACCTAGACAACAGTAGAAGATGAACCATTGCGATCATATTCCAGCTGAACTATCTGCAGATATCTCATTGAATATTCAAACCAAACTTTCGATGGATGATAAAGGAGTGCGCAAGTGCGCCGTGATTTTAGAGATTTTCAATTTTTCGAGCACTCGCGGCTGCATACCCCATCGCCGAAAATGGAATTCTTCCAGGATCAAAAAACATTTTTGATTAACTTAAAGTGCCATTTTCTGATGGTTGCTTTCCATCAATTTTTTTTCTCTAAACAGAATCATTTTTAAATGTTCAAAATGGGCTCAAGCTTAATTTCCATCCACTAAATTACTCTCCTTTTTCATTGAGTTTTTACACATACAAACACACAAAGCGGTTATCATTAAATTATTCTTAATTTTGCTTTAGTTAGCGAAATGATGAATGCAATAGAAAAAAGTTCCGCAACAACCGAAGGATCTGAACCGTGTTGGGACAACTATCAGGTAATTGTAATGATATGTCATATTTTAGATTAAATTCTTCTGCTGCTTAAAACTCACGCATGTTTATGGCAGATATAATATCGTACAGTAGAAAGTTCACTAGATGTTAGTTTGACATGCTCGTTAGATAGTTCTAGATGTCACTAGCTGATGATTTCTTTATGACAGCGAAGTTACTCCAACACTTTATCATGACATCACTTATTCATAGTTTACCTGCAATAAACTGAGCAAAACACGATATTTTTGTACACAATGTAAACAATTTTAATATTGACAAAGTCTTTCTATTATACGTTTTAGAATCCATTATACCGTCTAGATTGTCTCGATCACGACTCAGTAGAATCGACGTTAAAGTGGGAAGATCAATTTTTTGAAATGGATGATTGTAGTCAAGATCATGAATATATATTGAACAATATTACAATACTTGTAAGTCTTTTATTTTCATATCATAATTGCATTCAGTTGTCTGGCTTGATATTTAACTTTTCAAGTAACATTTATCTAAGCGATTCACTCGATCTGTATTAACTGAACGAGCAAGGTGGAAAGCGATCATCGCAGAGCTCGGTAGCAACTATAAACTGTGCTCTTTGAACATCAAAGAGTCAGAGTTGAAAAAAGAAGACCATATGCACTATCGAACAGACGAAATATAGCATATCAAATAAGACTAAAGAAGTTCCGAGACCAAAAGTACATACACTATATAACCCATTTAAGTAGCTACGCAATAAAAGCAAACATTTGAGCATGATGATCGATGTTTTAACACGACTGGAAAATAACAAGGACTCTAAGT